GGGTTTAGAGGGTTTAGGGGGTTTGGGGATTTAGGGGGTTTAGGGGGTTTAGGGGTATAGGGGGTTTAGGGGGTTCAGGGGGTTTAGGGGTTTAGGGGTTTAGGGGGTTTTAGGGGGTTTAGGGGGTTTAGGGGGTTTAGGGGGTTTAGGGGGTTGAGGGGGTTTAGGGGGTTTAGGGGGTTTAGGGGGTTGAGGGGTTCAGGGTTTGGGGGTTTAGGGTCAGCTTCGTGGGTCTTGAGAGGCGCCATAGTACGACAAGAAAATCAGAGCTGTTATATTCTAATGTAACATATGCTACAACATAGGCATGGGATTCTTATTTAATGCAAAAGCAATTTAACTAATATGCAGCCTCATAAACGGGTCTCTTTGACTTCGGGATAGGATACCTTTGTGTGTGAAACGTAGGGATGCATCGAAAAGGATGTGGCAATTGAGGCCTCCATTCAGGTAGCTGGCTTTCTGCGCCTGGCAGATGCAGTGAATGCTCAGGGTCTGGGGTTTCCCTTGGGAGGCAGATCTCTCGCCTAGGAGCCGCCTTGTTCTTGTAGTTTGAAGATGTTCGGGGCTTCTTCCTCTTAAGCTCTGCGAGAGCCGTATCAGAACCTTTGAACCGTTTTGAATCCCTGTCGTCGTCCCCGACCCTCGGATGGAGACGGTCGAAGGTTTGCGGTGCCCTACTTGAGGATCGTGGGTGTCGTAAGCAAGACAGCCATAGTTCGTATGATTTCTGTTTCGCCAATCAATTGCGGTGCCTACCCTATCCATCCTAGGTCCTAACTCCTACAACCACACTTTGCGAGAAGGAGTTACGGGTGCAATACAGAGGTCGGACTAATTGGTGCCACAAGTCTCAGGGTGCCTTGTTGTGGTTAAAACATAGCCCAAAACCCTGTTCTACCTATAGGCTCCATTGTACTTCCTTTTTGGGGATACCTTATAGAATCCTTACTGTAGAATTGGTTAAACCAAAAAAGGGAACTACAATGGAGACTGTAGGTAACCATGAGGGCCACTGATGTTAGACCTGGACGTCCCCGAGAGTGAGCGAAGCTCGAAGTCTCACAGAGGCTCTAGGGCTCTAGGGTTTTTCAGGCTTCAGGGCTTCAGGGCTTTGGGTATGCGGTTTGAGGTGTTTTGGGTTTTAGTGTTTTGGGTACTGGGGCCTTCGGGTTGGGGTTTTAGAGCTCCAGTTCGCTACAGGCCGCGTGGGAAGCTGCAGCGGCATCGTTTCCCAATCAGACGCCCTGCCTGCACGCTTGGGGGTTCTAAGCAGGGACTGTAAGAAGTCTGAAACATAGTTCCCTGACCTGTCCTTCAAGTCCGTTCTGAAAGCCGGATAGGGCGGCACAGAGCTTATCAGCCCGTCAAGGAAGCCTTACCATAGCTCAGCAATGCGGATCCGAGGAGCGTAAATTCGGGTATTAGTGTTTATAATTTATTTAATGGCTGCCGCCAATG